GTGTGTGTGTGTGTGTGTGTGTGTGTGTGTGTGTGTGTGTGTGTGTAAAGAGAGTCCTGATGGGTACATTCTCTTAATGGCTGTGTGGTATGCCTCCTATACATGCTCACTGCTGTGGTGGAGCACAGTCTTCACGTGTGGATGGCATTTTATATATGTAGATGGCATTTTATATATATAGGCTACTCACCAGACACCACACAGCAGATCACCTTCACATGGGGATATGGAATTTTAAGCTGTGTTACTAAACAGTTTTAAACATCTTGTAACAATCTATCATGCCAAACACATAATTACTCATCTTCTTTCTAACACATGAGGCTGAGGATCAGCAGTTAGTCCCAATAAAACATGATCCATCTGCCAAAAGAACAACGACTGCCCTGGTTATTTATGCTCCTGTTTTCATTTCAACTACTTCCAAGCTGAATGAGCGAGACACTGTCGACCTCAGCACTCCCACTCACGGCCTCTTGTCCCAATGCTATCTGTACACCCGAGGCTTATCTTCACCCTCTAGACGAACCCAAAGCCACTTCTGCTCTACCTGATGGTGAGCTGTTCTTGGGGTGAGACACTGGACTGCTGGGTGCAGGTGCAGGCGTGGTTCTGACCCCCACCCCACCCCAAGTTAAAATCAGAGACTGTTAGTAAGGACTGTTTCACTGATAAAACGGAGGTCCAGGGAGGCTTATCGTTTGTGATGAAAATCTACTAAGGTCAGAGCTTAGCCTAGAACTCAGGTTTCTTGGGGTCTTACTCACTGTTCTTCTAGTTGCTGCAAAACTAAATGCCCTGGATTGCTAGAAAAGCCCAAAGTCACTTGTGGGATCTATCTACAAAACAAACTTCCCCATGTGAAGCCTGGACTGTCGAATAGATGATTCCACAATGTAAAAAGATTGCCTGAATAAAAACGAGCCAGGATGTAGCTCAGTGCTACAGTGCTTACCTAGCATGCATGAGGACCTGGGTTTGATCTCCAGCACTATGCCAAGAGAAAAGTAAGAGGCAAAGAGAGGCTGTTTTACAGAAAAACTAAAATTTATTTTCAGCTAAAAATTACCAGGAAAACTTAGAAAAAAAAATGGATAGCTTTAGAAGATACTTAGAAAAACATACACAAAACTTTTCAACAAGGGAAGAGTGTAAAGTGCATGGCCAATGAATATTAATCAGAAAGTCACTTGGGAGAAGGGCTGTGGCTGTGGCGCAGGGGCAGAGCGCTTGTCCAACACAGCACAAGTAGCACACGCACAAATCATACAGGAGAGAGATTTGCTTCTTCACATAAAAAAGTTCCTATATATCAATGACTCCTCTGTCTGACAGAGTGACACATCAAGTTAGCATATGCTCTAGAAACCAGGCAGTGATGGTGCACGCCTTTAACCCCAGCACTCAGGGGGCAGAGGCAGGGGATTTCTGAGTTCAAGGCCAGCCTGCGCTACAAAGCAAGTTCCAGGAAAGCCAGGGAAACACAGAGAAACCCTGTTTCAAAAAACCAAAACTAAATAAAGAAAAAGCAGAAGGATAGATGTGGCGCCACACACCTTTAATCCCAGAATTTGGGAGGCAGAAACAGTGGCCAGCCAGGACTATGTAATGAGACCCTGCCTCAAAAAAATAAATAAAAAATATAGGGTAATAACTTTTCTAAATTAGAATAACTCCCAAATGCATTCTAAATGCTTGTCCGTATTCCCACAGATAAGCATAGCCTCACTTGCATCAAAGAAGATTCTTTCTGCAGCAAATGGAGACCATGACAGGAGCCACAACTGGTCAAAACGCAGAGAATAACTGACCGTGGGGTGCCTAGCCCCAGTGGATACATCTACAACACAAGCCTACATCGAAGAAGGTTCAGGGAACATCACGGAAGAAGGGCTGGAAAGACTGTAAGAGCCAGAGGATGAGGGTGTCTGCTGTGAGATAGTGTCTCCATATATAACAGGGAAACTACACCATGACATTTTAACAATAGTCACCTAACAAGACCTGCACAGTGACACCACCAGCTGACATCCTAATGTGGATGGGGAAATATCACAGGCTCCACTCCTAGATAAAGAGCTATAGGCTATGAATGGCTGCTGGGAGGGAGATTCAGTCTTCTCCAGGGACAAGCCTGTGACAGGTTACCCAATCTCAAGTGGTCAGATCTACATAAACATACATGCAAACAACACTAAACAGAGAGAGCAGGTTGCATTTATATATTCATGTGTGTGCATATACATATACACATACATACACAAATACATAGCATGTGGGTGTATATGTGTGAGGGAGTGTGTGTGTGTAACAATAGTAATGAACAAAGAGGAGGTCACAAATTTGAGAGAATTGAGGAGGACAAAGGGGGGAGTTGAAAGGCAGATAGGGGAGAGTAGAAATGCAGCCCTTATACATGAAATTCTAAAAAAAATTTAAAAAGTTAAAACATGAAAAAAAAAAGTACGGCACTACTAAACAAAAGGTCACTAGGATCAGTGCTACCTAAGTTTGTGGTTACAAAGTCCTTGTGTAAACTTTGTCTTGTCCCATTGCCCAAATCCACTAACTCTCTTCTCCAGTTTCTACCAAGAGCCTGAGATCTCTTCAGCTGAATACAGAGAAACTGAAGTCAATACACGAAACTGTTTGGGTTTTGTTGTTGTTGTTTCTTGTTTGTTTGTTTGTTTGTGTTTTTTTGTTTTTTTTTGTTTTTTTTTTGTTTTTGAGACAGGGTTTCTCTGTGTAACAGTCCTGGCTGTCCTGGATCTTACTCTGTAGACCAGGCTGGCCTTGAACTCACAGAAATCTACCTGCCTCTGCCTACCAAGTGCTGGGATTAAAGGCGTGAGCCACCACCATCCGGCACCCTTTTTTGCTTTTAATGAAGGTGAGTCCACTGCTATTTCCTTCTTTTCTGTAAGACTGTCAGTTAAAAGTTATTAAAACCAAGTCAGCCAAAGTTCAGGGGTAAGAACTGTTAGTAAAGCTGGCAAATACTAGCAGTTCCCCAAAGGGGAGAAATAAATTGAAACTAAGTCTACCAAGTCGTCCACTGAAAACATAGTTGAGTGTGGTTCGGATCTCAAACTCTGTAAGGACAGTAAAATTCTGATGTATTGCCATGATTTAAAGTAATTCTAAGCGGGCTGCAGAGATGGCTCAGTGGTTAAAAGCACTGGCTGCTCTTCTAGAGGTCTCGAGTTTAATTCCCAGCAACCACATGGTGGCTCACAACCATCGTGATGAGATCTGGTGCCCTCTTCTGGTATAAAGTTGATAGAGCACTCATAAACAAAATAATTAAATAAATCTTTAAAAATAAAATAAGATAATTCTAAGATGTACTCTAAACAGATTTTCAAATATTAAGAAATGAACTTCAGTATCTACCTCGAGTCATAGTTATACCAATTAAATTTTCAATGTACTAAACTCTTTGAATTCCAATTTTCAAAACTCAAACATCACCTTACAGAAAGAATAAATGCACTGATTAAAGAACATATACTTTACAGCAAGGCACCATGAAATATTAGGGTCAAAAGTAGCTTCCTTCAGAAAAACCAATATTAAAAACAGAAAGCTGGGAAGAAGAGAGAGGAGAAGGGAGGAAAGGAGCATGGGATAGAAGAAGCAGGGAGGGAGCGAGGGATGGAAAACCAACTACATGTGAGAGATAACTGAGGGCTAGAGATGACTCGGCGTTAAGAGCACCTGCTGCTGGTCCTGAGTTTAGTTCTAGCCACATGCTGGCAGGCTCAGAGAGCCAGATGTGGCGGTTCATGCCTATAAAGCTAGTACTTGGGAGGCTGAGGCAAGTAAATCACCATGAGTCTGAGGCCAGTGTGGGCTACAGAGTGAGATCTTGTCTAAATAAGTAAATTAAAACAAATGAGGGAATTACACAGCAACGATGTCACCTAACAATGTGCTCAGCAGAACAGCATTCACAGCTGCCTAGAAAGGCAGAATGTTGAATCCAAACACTCACGTCTCCACAGGGTTCCTGGAGTCAAAGAGCTTTCTGCTCTATTACATGTGAGCGAATATACAAACAATTTAGTTATCTATCAGTACAGAGAAAGGCCAACTACTGAGTGAAACAAGGATGTATAAAGTTCAATGATAATCCACCATGAGAGATCTTTTCAAGAGGAAATCACATGATGAAAGTCTCTGGCAAGCACGTAGCAAGGTTCTTACCATATGTCAGCAATGGTCTGATCCCAAGTCTTTTTCTTCAAGGAAGCTCCTTTCGAGTACATATGTTAATGGCAGCTGCTTCTCTTACATCTAGTTATGCTAATCAAATGGCTTAGCCATATAGTTTCAAAATACAAAATGCATCTGAATGACACAAGATTTTACCTAAACTGTATTTTCTTGTTTATACTTTACTGGTGAGCAATAGTCTTAATAATTTAGTACTAAAGATGTGTCTACTTGATGGCTTATTTTTACATGCCGTCCTTGGCTTGCCCGCTCTGGGTAACTCCTGAGAGGTTGTCAAGCAGTTGTATACGACAACAGTAATAGTATGGGTGGTGGGAGTTCTCGAAGCAACTCAGATGGCAGAGAGGGCCACTGGCCAAACCCAGGAAGAGCCAGCCACTCTTCAACAATGCCCAAGATTACCAGTCGATCGGGAGACCGAATGGCTTGTACAAGAGAGAGATTTTTTTAATCATCATTTGAAACAAACTGGAGATATAGGCAAGTGGGATCAGGCTATTAAAGTAACCTTCCAGCCAGCAGTTTATTGTCTCGTTTTCACTCTAACAAACCAGACAGTATTAAAAGTAGACATCACCACCACCACCCCGCCCCACCTCCGCCAAGCCAGAGAAGTTGTATATGCGACACTCGCCTTGGTTGTTTCAGAGTCAACCTGCTGGTCTGTGATTGAGGGAGGTTCTGAGAAGTGTGTCTATCTCCTATACATAACACCAGAAGGAGTGCACTTACCCTGACAATTTGCCGAGTACTTGTGATGAAGGCTTTTCTTATGCTCAATTCCGTTGCATCCAGGTTGAATTTCCTAGGATTTGCTTCAACTATGCGTGGGCCAAAGAGTTAAGGTGAAGCAAACGTACTGTCAAAAGCCTAGCAGCATCTTGTTAAACTACAGGACACTGAAATGAGGCTAAAACAGCCAAACCTCCTGGAAACACCCAACTTGACATAAACATTCCTAAACTTTCTCTCCAACCACAGAGAAGATCCCTCTGTCCCAAGACAGAGATGACCTGGAAAGTTAAAAATAGCCTCTGCTAGCTAGGCATAATGGAGCACACCTGTAATCCCAGCACTTGGGAGGTGGCTCTTGTGTTCCAGGCCAACCCGTGTCTCAAAAAACAGGGGCTGGGAATGTAGCTGGGGGAATGGAGGGGAAGGGTGGGGGATGGAAAAGAGCTAGGGGGCTCACTGTAAATCCATGGCTATTTGAGCACTGGGCAGCTAGGATCTTGCTGATGTCTGCCAACACTTATGTCTATCCTTGTTTGCCTTCCCCTTAGTTGACACAGGGAACCCAGAGTGGCCTGGACTCACTCTGTAGCCAGGCTTTGACCTATAGTTATAGCACGGCCTCAACTTCCCACGTGCTGGTATCAGAGTCACCACAGCCAGCTTCTATAGACCTTTTGAGATGCCATTCCAAGACTCTTTTCCTATGCTAACATGCTAGCCCTCTTCCTCAACCTGAAGAGATCAGGGGAGCTGCCTTTGCTCCCTTTTTCCTCAGGCCTGGTCCAGACACTAGAAAAACCTTGTGGTCTCTCTCATAGCCTGTAATTACAGTATTTATGTCATTATTTATTATTTGTTCTCAACCCTAATTCCATGAGGCCTGGTAGGTAGGTAGTTCATTTGACCTAGACTTAAAAACCAAAAAAATGTTTGGTACAAAGAACACTCAATACATGATTGGTGAATGAGTGATAAATATCAAAACCTTTTAATAACTTAAAAGGTACCATGAAAAAAATGAATGAGGAAAAATTACCATTGTCACTTGAACAGCAGTTAAACACTCTACACATCAATTTCCCAGAAGCCTGTGCTGCCTAGTGAGTGACCATTGTAGAAGCCAGTATCCTTGGTGTATTATTTCAAAGAAAAACACAAACCAGAATGCAGACATGGAACCAGGATGTTTTCTAACTACAGTTTTGGTTGCAGAGACTTTCCAGTTGAAAACTGAAAGCTGCACAATTCAGCTTCAACAGATCTCCAGTTCATCGGTCAGACCTGTGGGCTTTCCCCTAGCATTAACTGCATCCATCTGAACGATGGACCCGCTCTCGCCAAACACAGCTTCATGGTACAAGGCAGCTCTGCAATGGACAGTGGCATTTTAAAACCACTTAAGTGGAAGTGGAGTCTTTGAAGGTGTCCTTTTGAGGTCTAACTACCACGCTGTAACACCGGTCTGTCTCTTGTGCCCCTCAGCACTGACTGCTAGTGTGGTGCATGCACTCACACCCGTGTTTCTGCGGGGTCAGAACCGTGGTCCTCATGCGTTGGGTTAGTCAAGTACTATATGACCAAGCAGCATCCCCAGCACAGCTGCTAATCTTTACAGCCAACCACTCTGGGCAGGCACCATTCTAAGCTTTGACACATCTAACTCTCTCGACACTAGAAGCTGGGCAATCTCGTTGTCCTAGCATTCTTTTGAAGAGGACACTAAAGCCAGAGTCACTATTGTGACACTCTTATCAAATATATATTCCACACTGTCCCTGGCCCAGAGCTCCTAAGGCCCTTGGAGTCTCTAGATTCTATTGCTATTGCTAGGAGATGACTGATAATTCCTACACAGTTCCTCTGGTCACCAAACAAACCAACGCTGTAACTAGTGGCATGAACTTCCAGCCACAATTACCCCTGGGAGGAGAAAGGGACTAAAGGCTGAGCTAATCAACAATGTCCAATGACCTAATGAATAATATTTCCAAGATGAAGCTTTCATAATACTGAAACGGACAGGGTTCCTGTGGAGCACCACCGGAGGATGGCATTCCTGGAGACCACACATGCTCTCCTGGGCATCTCTTCCACATACAGACTCCAATACACGGGCAACCCAAGCAATGTATTTCTCTGAGCTCTACAAACTGCTCTTGAAAATTAAACAAACAGGATGTGGGTCTGAAGCACAGGTCAGAACCTGGGGTTTGCACGTGGCATCTGATATGGGGGCCATGAATGCTACAACATCCCATGCTATCTCCAGGGAGATAGTGTCAAAACTGTAGGACGGACACTTAGCTGGGGTCTGTTGGAGAACTGTTTGGTGTGTGAGGGAAATCTGCACAGATATCACAAGTATTAATATTTTACTGTGTACGAGGGAGACCGTGTATAGTGGAGTGAGAAACTGAACACCAGCAGACTGACTCCAGGGTCCAAAGTGATGATCACTGCTCTAGCAGCCTGGATAATGCAGGATTCACCATCCACGGAAGCTCAAGGCTGTCCTTCCTGAGCTCACTGGGCAGACTTCAAATGTCATGTACAAACAAAAGCCAGATCAAGCTCTAGAGAAGCAAACCTTTCATCTACGGCTCAAGGTCTGGACAGAACTGCCCTCTTGCCTCTGTTGCCGAGGCCCTCCACCCTCCACCACAGAAGGAAGGATATTGATGGTCTCATCCAGGTCCTCCAGATCCCACTCTATGCTTCGGAGGTTGTTCCTCAGCTCGTTGGTGGTCCAGTCGATTTCTTCCCTTGTTGCTGCAGAGGGGCCCTGCAGGAGCTCCGTCCATCTCTGAAACAACCCTTGGGCAGTGTTGACTGCCTTCTGTACCTCTCTGTAGTCAAGGGGAAGGGGAAGGAAGGAGAGATCACACATGACTCAGTCCATGAATGACGGCAGGACTTAAGGCAACATCACCACACACCACCCTCACAACCCGGTCACATCACCATCACCACCCTCACAACATCACATCACCATCACCACCCTCACAACCTCACAACCCCGTCACATCACCATCACCACCCTCACAACCCCGTCACATCACCACCACACACCACCCTCACAACCTTGTCGTACTGAACAAGGCCCAAACACACAGACTGGGTATTATGTTCCCAGCAGATGCAGAATAATTGGCCATTATTTCAGCAACTTTAACATCACATTTGTTTGAGGAAGACAGTTCCTTTTTTTTTTTTTTCTAAACAGACAATACTAAAGTGACACAAAGAAGCAATCTTATTGCTTAACTAAGGGTCCTTCACATTCATTTAGCTTTCATTGGGTGTAATAGTCAATCTTTATTTTCTTGGGGTAGGAAGAGTGGAGAACTAACTACTCTCCCATGACTTGTGTTTTATATAAAGTATTTGAATCTGAGACATTTTAAACTCAAAATCTCCCTGGAAGATTTCTAAACATTTCAGCTTTGCTAGTGTCTGCTTCCCTAGATTAAGTTACACTGTGTACCAGAATGATGCTTTTCTTGTTTAGAGTGTGGGACTAGGCCCAGAAATGCTACCATGCAGCATGCTTTCACAGCAGATGTAGTTAAAAAGGTCTATGAATACCCCTCACTAAGACTGAGCTTAAATCTCATTTAACATTATATCCTGAAGCTACTGTTCCAAAAAGTCAGTATGCGGGCATAAATGTGGGCACACGCATGTCAAGGCCAAACAGCAACCTCAGCACTGTTCTTGAGCAGCCAGCCACCTGGTTTGTGCCATTGTGTCTCTCATTGGCCTGGGGCTCATTAATGAAGCTGAGCTGTCTAGGGAGCAAGCCCCAGATCTCTCCCTGTCTCCACCTACCCAAGCTGGGATAACAAGCTATGGTTGCTGGAGAGCCAACTGAGGTTCTCACGCTTGCCCAGCAAGCGCGTTACAAATGAACTGTCTCCATAGCCCTGTCTGGGATCCTAACTACAGTAATTGCAGACCCATGAGTCCATGTAATTGTGCAGAAGCAGACACTGAAAGGGGTGGATTTTATTATGGGTAAAGTAATCCTTAAAAAAAGGGGGGGGGGGAAGCCAAGGGTGGTGATATCCCAGCCAGCACTCAGGAGGCAGAGGCAGGCAAATTTCTGAGTTCGAGGCCAGCCTGGTCTACAGAGCAAGTTCTAGGACAGCCAGGGCTACAGAGGGAAACTCTGTCTTTAAAAAACAAAGCAATAGGAAAGGTAAATAATCATTAGTTCACATTTCTAAGGCAGATGTTTTAAGAGACCTCAAAGGTAGGTACTGTCATCAATGGCTCAGACCTTGAAAGAAAAGCCAGAGGTCATAGTGTATCCAGGAACCTCAACTTGACAGTACTGAAGAGGCCTCCCAGAGAATCCAAGAGCCCAACCTGCTAGTAACATTTTCCAGGCATGAATAAGTAATAGGGAATAATGTGGGTCACAACCAAGTTCTCGAATGGTGGTAGGGTTTTTTTTGGTTTGGTTGTTGTTTGTTTGTTTTACAAAACAAGAGTCTCTCTGTGTAGTCCTGGCTGTCCTGGAGCTCACTCTGTAGACCAGGCTGGTCTCGAACTGAGATTTGCCTGCCTCTGCCTCCCGAGTGTACAGATTAAAGGATTGAGCCACCATCCCTAGTTGGTGGTGGATTTTGAAAGAATCTCACTATGTTATGTAGCCTAGGCTAACCTTGAATTTAGAATCCTTCTGCCTCAGCTCCCTGAAGGCTGAGCTTACTGTAAGCAAATGCAACTATGCCTTACAGCAAACTTTTGGAAACACTGTTCAGAACTTCCCAAAAAACTTGAAATTTCTACATAGTGCTAAGAGCCACAAGCCACCTTTAATAATGACAAGACCAACCAGGACACTCCTCCACTCAGAACTGCATACAAGCACCTAGCAATAAACACTGAGGAGTACTTAGCATTTCAACTAAGTCAATCCATAAACCTCAGCAGCACATAATCCCACCACCCATCCATTTTCCATCCTGGAGGGCAGAAGGAGAAGCAAATGCCCTTCTTTCCTTCTCAGACTTCCCAGGAAAGGAAAGGGAGGGCCTCAGTCAAACCAGCTGAGGAGGGGCTTCCAGGAAACCACCTGCCCTACACAGCCAGCCCCGTGAGCGCTTTACTGAATGAGCGGCTGTGACCAAAACACTCCTTTATTATAAGGACAGTCCAGCTTAGCTGTTTCCAGGTCGTCCTCCCAAATATGCAATGGGAATGATTAAAGAATACACAGGAGCACAGATACACTTTGACTTCTCAGCATTAGGCGAAGCAAGCTTCTTGGAAAGGAACAGTTGGCTCACCAACAGCATTGGAATCGTGTCTGGCATTTCAATGAAAGCTCGCTCGCCAGCTTCCTAAGAGCTGTGGCTCTAGCTCCTCATGCAGAGAAGCCTTGATCAAGTCACTGAGGAAGAGAAATAACCATCTCCCCGTGAGCCAGGCAAGCTTCTGCTCACCTGCTTCCAGAGTCAGTGTCAGGCACCATGCCACAGGCCACAAAGCGCCGGGGTAGGAAAACAGCTTCAAAAACAGACTGCCCACTTGCTGTCCGCCGACAGACAGCCTGTCACAACCAAGGGGCCTGACGAGTTCTCAACACCAACCACCTCATGGCAACAGGAGCACTCGTGACAGCTCTTCTTCCCTGGTAAATGAAAGACTGCACCTCTGCAGAACAGAAGAGCCACCCAAAGTTTCCCAACAAGATTCTACACCCCCTTTAAACAAAAGCTGAAGCAACAGGACTCCCCTCTGGAAGCTAACTCAACGCTGACCAGGTGCTACAGATTTTAAAGCCTCTTCCAAACAACTCTTCAATCTGTCATGCCCTAGTAAACGGCTCGCTACCCCAACCAACCCAGCTTGGGAGGGCTGCAGAGAATATTCCCAAATGTCACCCCTCCAAAAAAAAATCACAATGTTTTCTGACTTGTATCTAATTAAGTTTGCCAAGTGTAGGCTGGGCATGGTGGTACAACACCTTTAATCTCAGCACTCAGAAGTTTGCCAAGTGTAGGCTGGGCATGGTGGTGCAACACCTTTAATCTCAGCACTCAGAAGGCAGAAAGAAACAGGAGGGTCTCTGTATTCCAGGCTAGCCTGGTCTAGTGAGCCCTGTCTGGAAAAGAAAAAGAAAGTTTGCCAAGTAGAAAAAGAAATGAGGAATGTCTCAGCTAATAGTGAGTGCCACACTCTGGACATGGCTTGAATGGGTCTCTAAGGGTTCATGCAGGTGGCTTGGCCCTCAATATGGCAGTGTGGCGGTGTTGAGAGCCTTAGGGGCATGTCCTAGTGGGAGGTGATCAGATCCTTGGCCATGGCACTCAAAAGCCATAAAGGAGTTCTTGTGGGACTCCAGCTAGCTCCTGAAGAAAAGTTGCTACAAAGGCAGAGCTTGTCCCCCTCCTTGATCTCTGGCTTCCTGCCTCCACAGTACCTGTCCCTCTCACAAATGACTGATCACCTTGTGATACAGCCCAGGGGTCTCTCTCTACAGAACCCAATCTTGGATTTTCCAGGAGATAAGTAAACCTCTTTTCTTTACAAAGTGTCCAGCCTCGGTTACTGCACTACACTAACAGAAAAGGGTTTTGTTTCTTAGAAACAAACTGCAGGACTGCAGTTCCACCTTCCCTTAGGGTTCTGCCTTCTTTGGCCATGCGCACAGACTCTGGGGTGGCATCTGCTCCCGCTACTGTGCTTGCGCAACAATTACTCCCAACTAAATAGTGTTGGCTGTGCTCACAGGCTCTGTGGGTGAGGAATCAGACACCAACAGGGATGAGCTGTCTCAGGTCTGGGATGAAGAAGGTGAAGAACAGGGGCTCCCCAGTCACTTCCCCCAGCAGCCTGAGGTCTCTCCTCATCCTCTGGTGGAGTGGCTTCAGTGTGGCTGACTTTCGACCTGTCAGCTGAGGCACCCTAAGCTTGTGTCCTGAGAGAAGATGACGCAGGGGGAAGCTGCACTAGCTGAGGGACTTCGGGAACGAGTGTCACTGCCTCCTTCTGTCAATCAAGGCAGCTACAAAGGTCTGCCAGGTGCAGCACCAGGGAGCACAGACTACCGACTGACGGAAATGGATGCCAGCTTCCCAGTGTGAGAAGCAAACGGACAACTCATACACTGGTGCAGCCCGTGTCTGGGACGACAAACTTCTCCGTAAGGACTTACAGACACGTCTCTGGTTCCACAACATCCAGGAGCCTAGTAAAGGCAATCGTCTGATGCAGAGGTGCAGCCTCAAAGACCCAGCCGCAAGCTGGGCAAGCCCCAGCCACCCCTTTCCTCACCCACCTCCCACGCTGCCCAAACTCGTTCCTGCCCTGCACCCCACACACTTCATTCCAGGGCCACTCACTGATAAAAGAGGAGCTCTTCCCATTGCTTGACTTCCACACATCTGCATTTCCGGGAAAACCGACAACACACTCTTCACCTAGCCTAACTGTCAGCCAAATTCAGAAAAAGTCTCCACTTAATTAATTATCTACAGTCATACACATTTTGACCTAACTCACTTTTGCATTACTATCACCAAAATCATAGAGAGAATGAGAGAGGAAAGACCAATTTCTGCCTTGGGGTTTCAGAAGGTTCAGTCCATGGTCTCTTGGCCTCATGTGCTTGGGCAGAACATGATGTCAACAGGAGAGTGTGGCAGAGGGGAGGTGTTCATTCATGGCAGGCAGTAGCAGAGAAAGTGAGACAGGAAGGGCCAGGGTCAGGACTCCCCCAAGGACGGGGACACACATGGACAGGGACACACACACACACACACACACTCACACACACACGCACACGCACACACACACACACTCACACACACACGCACACACACACACACACACTCAC